AGTATATTCTTTATCGTAGTACTTTAGAGAGTGTGTACTACTACTACTACGACGTAGACGTACGTAGGAGGTAGGTAGAGTAGTAGAACGTAAGTAAGTAAACTAACGTAAGTAAGTAACTAACCGTAACCGAACGTAACGTACGTAGTAGGTACGTTAGTTTAGTAATAAGTACTACTTACGTCGTCGGTACGACGGAACGTACCGTAACGTACGTACGACGTACGTACGTACGTAACGTACGTAACGTAGTACGTACCGTACGTTACGTTACCGTTTACCCGTTACGTACGTACGTACGTACCGTACGTACGTACGGTACGGTAGGGTACGGTAGTACGTACGTAGTAGTAGTAGTAGTCGTATAGTAGTAGTACGTACNGCTAAGGCGAAGCGAGAAGAGGTGCTTATTTTGAATGACGCTGCGTCGTAGCGCAAGCTACTTATAGGGTGGGTGGATTCCCTGACGCTGACGTCAAGATCACCAGCCAATCAGGATTGGCGTAATGAGATTGATGCTTCTGTTTGCATACGCGTTGAGGCACATCCCATAGTGAGACATCTCACTTCATGTTACTCTGAGAACTGGGGTTACTTAAGTAACCTATAGTTCTATTTGTGCTTAAAATAAGGAACTTTTATTTTGTTAAGTCAATTTAAAGCAGGGGGAATATCAGCAAGTCAATACTATATCTATGTAAAAATGTATGTATTGTTTTAAGATAGACTTTTAAAAAATGTGAACCAGTCCTTTAATGAAAGTACATAAAATATGAAATCTTTAAGGACACTGTACTCTCATAATGCACAAAGTGTTTGATGACGGGGTCAGGAAGTAGCACAGGTCAATGGTCTATAGAAGCTAACTGCTACATTTGTGATGGTGCACCGAAAGCAGCCTTTTCCTGTTTGTTCTGGATTTTATGGTTTCCCTTTGGCATCTGTGCTGGGATTTTATTACCTAACAAATGGCATTATCAAACATCCATGTCATTTTGAGGTTTATAATCATTACTTCGGCCGAAAAGAAAGCCACCCATTAAGAAGCATTGCAAGGAGCAGCTGAGTGACAGCAGCAGCACTAATGCAGGATGGATCCACAATGAGGGAGTCACTATACAACAATAACTACCACAGATGAAAGCCCATTTATTCGGCTTGTCATCTGGGGTTTATGGCCATTACATGTCTGGAGGGAGCAGTCACCGGGGCATTCGAAGCCTGGGGCTAGTCATCAGTACTAGAAAGTGGAGGAAGTGTCAATGGCCTCTCAGTACACATTCCCAACACTTTCATCAGACACTTGGAGCCTGCAGAGAAAGATCCTGTCATTGTGCGTGTAATGTGTGTGCGTGTAATGTGTGTGTGTGTGTGTGTGTGTGTGTGTGTGTGTGTGTGTGTGTGTGTGTGTGTGTGTGTGTGTGTGTGTGTGTGTGTGTGCACGTGTGTGTCTGTGTGTGTGTCAACAGCCGGTGGGTGGGTCTTGTTAAAGGGGAACAATTGAGCAAGACAGAGGACACAGAAAGAGGGGATTTTAGATTCTTGTGTTCCTGCTCCTGGGTGTACAGTTTAAAAGAGACCCTTTGAATGACTAAGTTATTGAGGCATGTTAGTGTGTGTGTGTGTGTGTGTGTGTGTGTGTGTGTGTGTGTGTGTGTGTGTGTGTGTGTGTGTGTGTGTGTGTGTGTGTGTGTGTGTGTGAGGAGCGGGAAAGGAGAGTTAAGCAGTGTGTAAGTACAATGTGTTGAACCCCGGGTGTTAAAGACAGAGAACAAAATGCTCCCTGTGCTCAACTGTGTGTCGACACACTCTCTTCATGCTTGTTAGTAAAGTGTGATAACGTCTGGCTGTGTGGAGAGAGAGGAAGGTGTGTGTGTGTGTGTGTGTGTGTGTGTGTGTGTGTGTGTGTTGTGTGTGTAGAGAGAGAGGTGTGTGTGTGTGTGTGTGTGTGTGTGTGTGTGTGTGTGTGTGTGTGTGTGTGTGTGTGTGTGTGTGTGTGTGTGTGTGTGTGTGTGTGTGTGTGTGTGTGTTTAACAGGCTATGAAAGGACCACCCTGGAATCCTTACAAGTGAGGTCATAACTCAAGTACCAGGTCGCTGCATCCGTATATTCATAACATACGTCTAATTAACACACACACACTCAATTGTAGTCTCTCTTATGCTGGTTACAATCATACACACTTCATTGTTTGTCTGCAATGAATAAAACACATACTTCTTAATGCTCTACTTAAGATATATCTACACCCCTAATACGTTTTTTAACATCCATTAAATCTAGGGTTGGATGATATGGCCAAAATGTTATTACAACTATGGTTTTCATTTTACTGGATGTCGTAAATATATATTTTTTTACTAAGGTAATCACATAAGCATCATAAATGTACATACATTTACATTCACATAGTAACATCTGATTGAATTGTTGAACAACTTTAAGAGTATTCTCTTCCAGGGACAGAACCCTAAAGAGACCAGGAAGTTAATTATGGTTTAAAACATTTTTTTTAAATGTATTATGAAAACACTCTACTTGTGAGCATGTGCACCAGACTTCTGCCTGTCAAGTCAAATGAATCCCAGTTATTCCTTTGCAAACTTGAAATGGATAAAATAATAAGTCTTTCCAAATGATATTGGACAGAATTGATCAAAACAACTCATCCATCATTTGACAGAAATCTTCTGAATGGGTGGATCTTTTGTCCAAAATTGACATTTTAAGTTTTGTAAAGTTGGACTGACCAAAATTGGATGGCTTCATGTCAACTCCTTTTGATTTTGAGAGGTGTTAAGGATTAGCAAGTTCAGTTTTCAAATGTAAGATGCTGATAAGTGCAATGTCAGTTACCATAAAAAGGCATTACTTGTGTTCTTGTCATTTCAAAGGAATCTGCAATGAATAGTTCTGACTATGACAAAGTCGGTTTTGTCTTCTTAATTAAGATTTCTACCAATTGATAGCGACCTTCCTCTGGCATCATTAGTTAAATAATGAGCCCCATGGAAAGTCTACATTTATGTTTATCTTTGTCATCATGGGTCTAACCTGTACTGAGATGAACTGTCTGGGACCAGTCATAAGTTCAATAAACTCCAGACAGAAAATAAACCTAAGTCTGCTCCTAGTTTCTCAACGATCCATCATCCACCCTTCTCCTTGCTATTGTTAATATAGTCCCGAGAGGAATAAACCTTTTAGGGGAACCCCACTGAACTTCCTGTTTGACATGTTATTCCTATGCAGAGTGAAAGTTTAGTCTGTATTAAAGAACAGGTATTTGCGTTTCAGGCTATCATACACAATTATGGTGATTTCCCTCTTTTTATGGAGAACAGAATTAATCTCCTGGCTTTGGAACTGAGAAAAAACATGATCATATGAAGCTCATTTGGGTGTTAAAGTTCAGACAAAGATTCTCTGTTCTCTAGCACAGTAGAAATGACTAATTTTCATAAAAAGTCACGAAGTATCTAAGAGTTATCGCAGTCATGCATATATTATCATACTGAATAATTGTGATGATGATTTCTTATGACGTAAAAACTATATTTGGTGCATAAAATAAATCACCGAAATTGCAAAGTTCAGCTGTGCAGCATTTATCACACCAGACTTTCATGTGAATGAGTTATGAGGGAAGGAGGATACATCTGAGAGTGATAAAGTCTCTTTACTGAAGACTTGCCAACTGTCTGTAAACTCTGCTATAGAGTAAAACTGCCTACGTTTTTAGGGCCTGTATCTAACGTTAACAGCATCCAGTGCTCAGTTGCTATTGTAAATCCATTAATTTGTATTTTCTCATAAGCAGAAGACCATCCACCATATTGTGAATGATCCCACCTGCAAAGTTGCTAACAAAGACTGGCTACAATATAGTGAGTTTGTATCTTAAACCTTCTTCAAATGCAGAGTTTGAAAATGTTCAGGACGTGATAAAGTACCACCTGTTGGATGTTGCAGGGCTGCAAGCTATTCTTGGTATAGCAAGCCTGATTTAGTTTTCCGATATTATAACTCACTTTCTATTGGAATTAGGGTATATAAAACACATTGTTAACGCAAGTCTGATCCACACGTTGAATAGTACTGTGTAGGACTGATCTAATGAGTGAAAAATAGGACAGATGAGCTAATAAAAGTTATATTAACCCTTTAAAGGTCCCATGTCATGCTTTTCTGGTTATTACCTGTCCCATTGTGTGTTATGAAGGTTTTTATGCATGTAAACGGTCTGTCAAAAACCCTCAAAGTACACCCTGTAGCGAGTAAAACTCTAACACAGTCTATGCTGCCCCAAAATGCCTCGTTGGAGATTTCTCATTTTCCATTGTTTACTTCCTGGGTACTCTGACGTGGGGATACCCAGAGGCCACACCCTCTGCCAGCCTTTCACGAAACAAAGCTTCACAAATCTTTCAGCGATTCATGCCGGATATGTACAGCGTAGGGCACTGAAGAACGATGCTGTTCCTACTTTGTTTGGACCAGCGGGAGATTCGGGTACACAACCTGTAAGTATTCATTGTTGTTTGTGTATTTACGATGTTTTAAACAAACAAGGTATCTACCACGACTGTTTAAAAACTGTTTAAAAACTGTTTAAACTGGTAAACGTTTTTCGGGCTACTAACCCAGCTAGCGGGGAACGTTCTCACAACTTTGGCTAACGTTACCTATTGGTTCTAACAAGGTTTTAAAGAAACGTTTTAATCTGATGTTCAAAGAACCTTTTTAGGATGTTTATTTGTTCAAATAATGTTCCTATAAGGTTTAAGGTTAACTAAGACATAACGTTTTAACTGCAACATTCAGAGGATGTTTTGAGGATGTTATTAAGGCCTGAGAAGACAGAAAGTTTTTTTATAAAATGTTCCTTTCAATGTAATATGTTAACAAAGGTG